CTGAAATGTTATTAATTTTGGAAATAATAATACACAGTAGATAACTACATGAGTAAGTTCTGTTAAGTTAGACGCTGTCGATACCTATTTCAAAAGTTTTAGTGGGCGTTTTTCAGCACCCGAAACACGTGTAGGTCACATTATGAGTGGCGCAGATAAGAGGTGTTACCAGAGAGTAACGTTAAAAAAAAAATTAAAGATGAAGGCTAGATAAGGTCGACAGATGTTTGTTAGGAAAGAAAGAGCAACTCATAGTAGAACCCTCACTCGCCACCCACTCAAAAACTTTTGGACTTCTGATCAAGCGAAAACATGACTATAAGCCAAGTACTACACTGCGACAAAACTGTTGGTCAACGCTTTTGTCAGTGAGTTGTGGACAATAAAAACTAAAGAAGCACGACCGTTTATTAGTTTTAAAAAAAAGAAATCATTGTGTTGTGTTGGCGCGGTGACAGAACCAGACGCCCTAAATGAATGACTCTTCGCTGACGACCAAAGCCTGGCACACAAAGATGAACAAAGTCTCCAACACCACACCTCCAGAGTAAACGAAGAATGTAACAACTGCGACATGAAGATCAACATCAACAAAGCTGAGACATTGAAAGTAAGCAGAAATCCAGGTCCACTCAGGATACACATCAACAACAACAGTCTCAGACAGGTCTAAGAATTTAAGTACCTCGGTATATTCACAGAGGATGGGCGACTGAACAGAGAAACACGAGTGCAAAAGGCCAATAATGTTAGTTACCAGCTTGCTCCACTACTGAAACATCCCCATGACAACAAAACTCAAAATGATCAACACCATATGCATCCCAACACTCACCTATCAATGCCAAACATGGACCACGAACAAGACATTGGAGCAAAGAATTACAACATATGAGATGAGATGTCTTAGAAAAGAAGTAAACAAGAAAGAGCGAGACAAAATTAGAAACTCAGTAATCAGAGAAATGGTGGGCACTAATGATGTCACGCATCACATCCAACACCAAAGAAGCAAATGGTTCGGACATCTCATGCAATTACCAACACACCATCCAGCACAACGTGCCTACATTAAAATATTCAATGGCTACAAGGCTAGAGGGCGACCGAGAAAGACCTGGATAGATGGTGTCAAGGAAACACTAACAACTCATGGCATCCCCCTGACCCAAGCTCTCTGGCTGGTGGCAGAGAGACGCCTCTTTCTTACCGCGACACCCAAAGGGTATAAGCGGCGGATAAAAGTGAAGTAAAAGTCAGTGTTGGTGCGGCAGGCTTCTCTTGTTACACTTTACTTGTTCTCACCGACAAAAAAATTAAAAATGTTTAAGTTTAAAAAAAATTGGCGTTCTGTTTTGTCGCAGCGTAGTACTGGGCTTCGATTTAAAAAAAAGGGAAAACAAAGGCAAGGGATATCCTGCTCCGGACATATACTGGTCCTGTACAGAACGTTCTGATTTTGTGATAAGTACAAAAAATATACATGCCATGATTACCCCTGATGTCGCTGGGAATGTACACTGGAGAGACATGGGTCTTTATATTTCTATTAATTAATTCGGTATAGACTACATACTAACGCACACACCTACACACACACACGCACACACATACACACACGCACGCACGCACGCACACACACACACACACACACACACACACACACACACACACGCACGCGCGCGCGTGCGCCAAATATATATATTATATGTATGCATAATATATATATACACATATTATGTTTCTGAGTGTTCTATGGCCTGCTGGGGTTATAACATAGTGTAAAGCACATAGAGCTTGCTTTCGAGTGGGGATATGCGCGATACAAATGATATATATATATATATATATATATATATATATATATATATATAAAATAACATATTTTATATATATATATATATATATATATATATATATATATATATATATGTATATATATATATATATATATATATATATATATATATATATATATATATATATAATATTATTGTGTACATCATGGACATTTATTGCATATCAAATGCAAGGAAAATTTAGTGTCTGCTATAAACAACATTTTATTACATTAGTTTCAACAGTTTAAAAAAACAGAGCAGCCCCAAAAACCACGCAAAACAGGCGCATAACATTAAATGTGCTTTTTGAATTTTGCTTGGGAGTCATTGGTATTATGTTTAGCACGAATCCGTTGTCACGAACTTTGGTATTATTTTTTTTTACACAATTGTCTGTTATTCCGAAATGTTACGAGAGTTGAAAAAAAACAAAAAACAAAAACAAAAACAAAAAACCGTTAACAAACCCCAAACAAACAACCACCCAAAAAGTCTGAATTTGGAGCAAAATTTTGTTTTTTCAGCTGCTGTTTCGTGGGGATCGACATAATATCTATAGGATCCATATCGGTACTTTCATTGGTAACCACGCCATCGTTGGTGTTGTCGGGTTTTCCAAGAATCTTTAGTGGCGTTGGCCCAGTGAGAAGATTCCTCGTCAGGCATAAAGGTACCTACTTAAATAACACCTTGACGAAACTAAGGGCAAGACGTGACGTTCCAGCACTTGCGTGATGTAATCCTTAAAACGAAGCCATCCGTTTAATTAATCTCACAGTGGGGGCTTGTTCATTCTAGCCAGATCATCCCAACCCGTGGCAAATTTGTGGCCTCTGTTCCTAATTCACACCTGACTATAATATTCAAAATCTAAATAACGCAGTCCATGCGCAGAAAGAGTTTGTGCTCTGCGAAAACCCAATGGCTCCTAAACAAAACACTACTGAGCATGTATACAGTATTATTACGTCCAGGTTTCGTGACTGCTGTTTTCCAATCTATTTGAAAATATCGTTTCAGGAAATTATTAATTGCAGAGACAATAACATTCTCTAATCCTGTGATATTCAATACAAGTCCATTCTACCAATGTAGATTTACCTCCATACGCGCGCGAATACACTTTTAAGTTTCTTTGATTTCACACAATTTTACCAAGTCTGATTTTTAAGATTAATTTTGACTGACCATATCTCAGGCGACTGTTGTCGTAGATGAACTATCAATGTGTCAGATAATGCAGAATTTATTTAGCTTTAATTTAGTATGCTTCATGAGTGGCTAGTACAGCGCCTTAACACGATGACTTGGTGAATGCATGCAGTTGGGAAACCATAAGATATCGACTTTTCATCGAATCTGAACTCTTATCAAGTATATGTCTTTCATGCAGGTTTTTATTAGGTCAGAAAATTGAAATTACAATGCCTACTTTTGTACTTAAAGTTATTTTTGAGCTCTTTTTCTCAGGTACACCTTTTGACTTTCAAAACCAGAGTAGAGGCAAAAAATATATTTAAGCAAATAATGACACATTAAAGTGGTTGGTGAAAAACAAAATGCTGCGAATTGGGGATAGATTGCTGCATAATAAATTAACAAGCACAAAAATCAATAACTTTGGTGACAAACATCAGCACTCATTAAAAACAATTTCTTTTTACTTTATACAGCTTGAAACTACTCATAATGACGAAGGTCCAACTATATTTGACACAACACTCTTTATTATGTGAAACTGCTTACTTACATTTCTCAATTTGGTACACTAACTACAGCCTAAATCCAACCAACGTTTCCGAAACACCCGAGCCTGGACAAGCAAGTACGAATGTTTTATTTCCAAAGGTCCTCCCTCATGTTTCTATACGCGGACACCGCAATACAAATTCAGCAGAGCGTGCATTCACTCGGGGGAAAAGGTTGATGTGTTCCGCGTGCCCAGTGCGGGCGAACTCTGTTAGGTCTTGCCTTGATGGTTCCCGGGCAAATGACTTACCCGAAGGGGGCAGTTTGGTTCGAAAATGTCTAAAAGTTTTCCTGGTCCTTGACGAAAGAAATAGTTTTGTACTCGGGTAGAAAAGAACAGTTATATGCTTTTGTTTGTTTGTTTTTGTAAAGTGTTTTACGGCGCTCGCAACTGCATATGGGCGTATGAGCGCGCGGGATACACCTTTTTTCACTTGATAGGAAATTTTGAATTTTGACCGGGTGGCGGCCGAAGCCTACTCTTATCGATTTTAGACCACCAAAGGATCTTTAACGTGCGCAACCTGCACACGGGCCCTCCGAGATTTTTCGCTCTTGTCCGAGAAGGCTAGGTGTAGATCTTTCCTACCAGAAGATCAGGGGTGTGGCAGAAAGACAGCAGTAAGGAGGAGCCAAGGAGTAGCAGTAGAAAGGCTGCAGAAAGCGTCAGGAGCCCAGAGGAGGGGGCAAAGGAGGTGAGGGGGTGGGGGGGGCAGAGAGTGGAAATGAAAGCAGACAACAGAACATTGCTAGAGAGCAGGAAAGGAGGTGAAAGGAGACAATTTTAGAGAAGAACATTTTTCAGTCGCTACCCGGATTCGAACCCGGGACCTTTTGAATGAGAGGCCAACACCTTAACCTCTGGGCCACGAGAGCCCCCACATGTTATATGCAAATAAGGCGATTGGTCGTCTTTTCAAATTACAGTCATGGTTAACTCGTACTTATGTTTGTCTCTTATTTGCACCGAGCTGTTTTTCTTCCTAAAGACCCCCCTCTTTCTATCACCCCCCCCCCTCCCACTTCAAACCACGACCCTAGCAAGCTTTGTAAAAAGTTGCCGTCGTGAGGTGTCAAATCATAAGACACCATCTTTTACAATATTTTCTGAAGTCTTGACGATGCATAATAATTCAGAGTTGACAGACTGCTGCCCGTAATCATGTTATACGAAATTTATGACAATACGTGTATTTGTAATATTCATGAATCGCGTTTGAATTGCTAATTTTCATCAAAACCAGATGCTTTGTGTGGTGTACAATAACACAAGTAAGGCAGAAAAATGCACACCCGAGGAGAATATTTAAAAAAGAAACATTTACTAAAAATGCACACACAGTTTGACACAATGACACATCGATAAAAATCTATTACTACATTAAACAATTATAATATGGACACAATAAA